TCACCATCATATTAATGTCATCACCGTCAGACAAAACTGATCCTTCATATACAAGTGCATAATCCTTGTAAACCGGCATACGGTAAGTAATCTTGCATATTCTTCGCCCTCCTATGCAAGATCGTTCCGCACAAATATGGTTGAGTTCTTGCCAAGTAAATATGATCTCAATCCGGACAGTACTTGATTCACCATCTTCGTAGTCAATACTATCATGAAAATGTGTAATTCGACCATTCCACCGAATCAATAAGTCGAATTTTCAAAAATTTCTACCCATTTCTGCATTTTATAGAAGCAGCTCATTACATACAGTACAAACAATACTAAATTAATCCAAAATTCTAATATGCTCATTCAAACAACGTAAGCAGAACTTACCTCCAAAATTTTTCTTCTTTGCTCAGCTACGGTGCTCCAGTAGCTGTCCAGCAGCTGCTGGTTGTGTTTGGAAGAAAGAAGATAGAAAGTAAAAGAGCTGCCAGAATGTGGCTAAGTGATGGATTTTTATCCTCGTAAACTGATGCAGTGGTTCGAGTCCAGAAAACTCGAACTATACTAGTTTGAGTCCATTAAACTCGATCTAGGGAAACCAATAATTTTACCCTCTGCACCCTATTTTGGAGCATGTCGGACCGAAAGCGACTGGACAGAATGACTGAGCAGTGGTTCGAGTTCAGTGTAATCAAACTACACTAGTTCGAGTCCCTAAAACTCGATCTATGACAACAAAGAATCTTATCCCTGCAACCCTATCCCGAAGCATGTCGGTTGACCAGTGGTTCGAGCCCATTGGAATCGATTTGTGTTGTTCTAGTTTTAAGAAATCGATCGTGTGCAGATATGGATCGAGAGCTCTAAAGTAGTTTTAGTAGATCGAGTTTTTTGACTTCGATCTTGCTGGATCGAATTGTCCAAAGTCGATCTACTATGATCGAGTCATTTTTCATCGATCTACTTTGATCGATTTCTACAAAATCGAACTACTTTTGATCGAGTTTTACGAACTAGATGTGGTTCTAGTTCGAGTTCTTCATCGTCGAACTTGCTTGTTGTTCGAGTTTATGGGACTCGAACCCTTTGAAACTTGGGTAGTTTGGGAAAATTTTATAAATCTTATGTATTATGGGAATTATGTTTAATTTTTACTGTATTCTTGGAATTCTTCCACCCAGCTCTCCATCTTCTTCCCTCGACCCTTCTCTGCTACCTTGATTCCCTTAACTCCTCCATCAATTCTTTACATGTTGATTGCTTTATAACTCTTACAATTAACCTCCCTCTTCTTATGGAATTCTACCTCCTCTATTGTTTTGCTAAGTTGCTCTCTTTATTTCTTCTCCTTCTCCTCCAATCACAAGGATTTCTCCCTGTGCACCCAAACAACGAATGAAAGTGTAACATCCCATTTCGGCTAAATCCATATTTCGATCGCTAGAAAGTTCGGGATTTAAAAATCGAGCGTTTTGATAGTATTTCGGCGAAAATCGGATTATCAATCGATCGGATAAGTATACGTATTATATATTTATATATATAGGCGGTCACAGACCACCTATATAATCCTTCCTTTCCCCTCTACAATTACTTTCCCCTCGATTTCTTCTTCTTTCATTTCCAGTTGAGAGAAACAAAGAAGCAGAGTCGTGCACGGAGCTCGTGGGAAAATTTTCACAGCTAGATTCTTGAACTTTAGCAGTCCAAAATTCCCGTAAGTAATGCCTAATTCATCTATACATCATGATTTATCGATTTAGATTTTTAAAAAGAGATTTTGGTTCAGGAATTTTGTGAATTCCCGATAAGCCAAATTAGGAAGCCAGATTGAGCCCAGATTTCATATACGAGCTTCCTGCAACTAGGTAATCAATCCTCTAGTTCTAATCCCTGAATTTCGGCAATTATTTAGGTCGGGGTCCAAATCGCTGAATTTAGCTCCGGCCAGGGTTTGATGTGTTTTTATCGAGAATTTGACCCGGAGCCTAGAACTAACATTGACGGGGATACTGCAGGGGATATTAGGACAATCTCGGATTTTGATTCTGAGTTTGTTTGAGAAAAGTGAAGTTTAGTTCGGGAGGCTAGAACCAGTGTTTGAACGACCAGAACTGGTAAGGGATTAGCACGACATACCGGGTTTGTCGTATCACGATAATTATATTGATGCTTAGAATTGACCTAGGTGAACTAGAATGGCATGATTAGGGGTGTATGAACTTTTGTGCTATTTGTTGAACACTCGACTGCTGTATGATATTATTGACTTGCCCTAATCGATATGGACCTTGTTTATGCTGATGATTGCATACATGTTGCCATTTGTGGCTTAACTGTTGATATGACTACATGGTTGTTCGATCAGGTGTTTTGACATGATGTGATATTGTGGTTGTATTTTGATTCACAAGTGGGGGAAATAAACTTCCCAGGGTGATATTATGATGTTTAAGGAGGATGACTTGCACGAGGGTTTATCCCCGAGGAAGTGCAATTATACGACTCCTGGTTATGTTGAGCCAATTGTGGCTAGGTCAAGAACATGTCCAAGTAATGAATTATGATTAAGCAAGATGAGATATGGATCATGTATAAGGATATCAAGTAAGAGTACTTTGGTCTCACGGTCAACTACATAGTAATTAGGACTCCCTATGCTATTACTCTATTATGATATGTATGATAGTCACACCTCTCATGTGGTGGCTTCTATCGTACCCCGGGTAAAATCCGGGGTATGGCGTACCTTGGGTGATCTTGACCGTACGTGTGATCTCGACGACTGAGATTAAATTTTATTAAATGATTTATTTTTTCGGAATTTATATTAAATAAAATTACCAATAGACTCATAGAATTAGTTTTTCTTTCATTTTAGTCCATTGTAAACCAAATCGGGTTGGTTCTGTTTAGTTTTTGAATTGACCCAAAATCCAACCACCCTAAGAGAAAGGACACCTACCTTGCCCCACCCGCAGCCCTACCCCTCTCCTCCAAATCCCGACCTTGGACCTTCTCTCTTCATTTTTCTGTTCGAATTGGGAATAACCCTGTTCTTCCTCCCTACTCCTGTAAATCATCCCAGCCGTCTCAGAAAATGGCAGCGATAATTGAACCACTCTGTTTCCCCCTCTTATTCTTCTTCGTTTTCCCGTTCTCGACTGTCATATTTCCCACCTGTCCTATGATTCCTCCCAATCGATTTTTTGAACCCTAAACTGGCCGAATATCGCAGGTAATCTCGGCGTCAAGCTGTGCAAGCATAAGCACCCCCATCCCTTTGAATGAAAACTAATTGTTGCTTGTAATCCTTCTTATAACTTGTTAGTTCTTATAACACAGATTTATGAGTAATTCACTTGTGCAAACAGCTGGGCAGGCGGAGATGATTGCACTGGAGAAGGCAATGAAAGAGGCCATGGTTCCTTCAGGAACTGCTAGGGAGGTGAGAAAGGGATTTTGAATTGAAATTGCCGAAATTCATTTTCGAACTACAATGCTGTGATTTTGGATGGATCTCTAATATGGATTAGGTGTATTGTAGACTAATTTGGGAAGAGAGGTCTCGTTGTTTGAAGTTGAGGCTACAGCTATGGAGTCTGTATTTCAAAAATTCTATTCCTACATTTTTTTACACTGAAACCGTGGGGTTTGAACTAAACAGAGACCCCGACAGGCCCAGTCCCGCTTCTATCTTCGTGGTTAACTTTGACAAGGTAAGGGTTTTGACGAATTGTGGTGACGATTTTATGCATTGATGATAAACCGAGTTAATGTGTATCGGAATTAGGTGCTTAAGATGTCCCTTTCCAGGATCATGTGTGTTTTTGGTCCATTCTTTCAGTAGTCTTTGACATGATCTGTTGATGAGCTTGTTTGGTGGTTTTCTTCTTCCAGGTCAGAATGGATCCGAGGAACAAGGAAGCCGATCTTGATAGTTTCATGTTTAGCACAATTGATAAGTTGTCTGAAGAAGATATGAAGAAACAAGAGGGTGATTACATTTATAGGGGGAGCAACTCAAGTTTGGTTGAGCTCAGACAAATATTATTTGAATGGACGATATGTGACCTCTTTCATTTTAGTCACCACGAGAAATGACTATAAGTTCCTAATTCAATTTTAGCCACATTCGTCACTAGTGATGCTTTTAATCATGTTTCGGGTTCTTCCATCTTTATTGAAAAATGGTTTAAGGGTCCACTTGATTGGGCTGGTTGTTGGACGATCCTCCAGCAAATTTCGACGGGTTACTTCGTGAAGACGTGATGGGAATAAGATTCCCGAGGCAAGTAATCTGGCCAGTTTATCTCTATTAGTTTTTATGCGAATCTCAGAGGTGGCTGTTTCTGTTGCTGCTATTTTGGCTATCTGTCTGCAATGTGAGATTACTGTAGCGCTATTTCTGCCTCTCGGCTGTTTCCATTTCTGTTTGGCAAACTAGCCTCTGGCTGTGTACTTGTGTTTATTAGGCTGATTTGCTAGCCTCCCTCTAATAAAGAAAAAAGCACACCAAAACTTGCAATCTATCCGCCAAATAATAAATGTGTCCTTAAATCGTTACCATAAAGAGGGCATTCGTTGGAAAGGAAGAAACAAAACTAAATGCTAAAATGCAGAACACACTAGGCTACTAGATATCCTTGAGCCCTGAATTCGCCTCTTCTGGGAAGCTGCTTTCCTGAATTAGCCTCTTCTGGGAGCCTGCTTTCCTCTCTTGGAAAGCTATTTTGTACTCAAGTGTCTGAGCTTCAAACCTAGGCGCATTCTTATTTTCTTTCTTGAGCACCTTGTGTCTTATGTAATTGGTAGGCTCTTTGACTAGGTAAATGCCACCTACATTCTTCTCAAATGATTGCATGGCTGTAAGGACAGAAAATATAAGGTATTAATACAATAGTTGACATAGTTTTTTTAATGTGCTCGTAGAAATAAATGGGCCCAGGTAGTAGGTGATTTCTTACCCAAATATAATAGTTATCATCCCATCTTGATCCCATCATCTACACACAAACCCAGATCCCACTATCATTCCTGTTTAGAAAGATCCATTACGTAAGACACAAATATTTTATTTTTCTAGTGAATTATGACCAAATATACATTCTTACTTGTGTCGTTGTGTAGGAACTTCAGGAGTGGTCAAAGAAAACTCCTTAATCTGTGGTGGTGCACATGTTGATTGAACTTCCTTGTGTAAGGCATCGAACAAGTCCTTCAGAAATTCAATCTACAACGTTCAAAAAGCAACCAGTGAATTACAAAATTTTGTTGGAAAATATAATGCCACATAATTGAATTACAAACACGTGTATTGAAGTATGAATTCAATGGCACAAATTTTAACTATACCATTGTGTGAACTGCATTTTCTACGGATTGTTTGGCGCTCTTTTGATGGGCATGAATCCAGAATGTGTACTTGTTTCTGGTCCATCAAAATTATAGCTAAATACCAGTGGATGCCTTCATCATTCATCATATCTTTCATGGGAAGACAAACCTTCACAGGTACGAGAAAACAATCCAATTAATTAATTAGTTTTCCGACATAATTCATTCAAGAAATTAAGCAGAAGGGCAGGCATAATTCACGCGCACATATGTTGTGAAAACCGCTACTAAATAAGCAGAAATGAGAAGGAAGAATTGTGAAGAAGTCATAACCTTTCTACAGTTATGAGCTTTTGATAGGAATTTTGTATCATATAACACTAATGCCTTTGCAGATATCATGCCATAATTAACGACCATATCCTGATAGGAAAATGAAGTTAAATCATTGAACACTAATCTTACTTAATAAACAACCAACCCCGTGTAAACTGAATTAGAATTACAAAGTAAAAGCAACACTTACCTGCAATTCCGTAGGCAGAAAGCACACTCCTCTTCCACGACCAGTATCTCTTTTAACTTCGTCCAAGGTCAAGTGGCAAGCTAACGCTATAATTACCTAAAACACAATAGAAATAAAACACCAATGATTAAAAATCGTTAAGCACGTTCAGGTCAACTAGGGGCGTTTCGCAGAAGTACTTACATCAGCTTGACTTGGGGCATAAGCTCCATAATGTCTGCCTGGTATATGATTTCATCATTGTTTTGATCAAAGCTTCATCAGGAGGAAGGTCTTCTGCAAATATATAGTGAGCAAAACTCACTTCTTCGTCATTGTAGTTGACGGCTGTAGGGAGCTCAAACCTTGTGGTACCCTGCAATCATGGAGAACAAACAAATAGAGGAAATAAGAAGAGGTTTTCTTGAGTTTTAGGTTTTACATTTTAAATGAAAATATATAATTAATTAAAGAAGAAATAGAAGTCAAGTGGCGGAAAAAGGAACGAAGGAAAACAACGAAAATAGTGGGCGAAAAGGAAGCATATGTACATCACTAGGATTACATACCTTCATTGACAATTTTTGTGCAGGCATGAGGGGTTTGTTTTGAACACCTAGCTCATAATGGTCTAGCCCTGGTTCAGCATCAAGAACAATCACCTTCGAGTCGGGTGTAGGTGAGGGGATGACGTCTTGCATTCTTGCTTTCTTTGCAGGGGATACATAGTTCTCCAATTCCTACAATAATGAACAATCAAGTCAGAATAAGTTTTGTATAAATAACCTACTGTTAAAGCTCCTGGATGAACCATAGACTTGGCTAGATAACGCGTTAGGCGTACAGTAGACTGGCCGCTCGTCATCTTGTTCTTCTGCCTGATATAATTGTACAAAAAAGCAACAAGAGAGTGGAAGATAAGAACAAATACAACAAAATAGCTGACTAAAAAGTTAAAGAAAACACATTAGCAGATTGCAGAACTTACCCTTCCTTCCCCATAATGTTACAGACACACAATGTTGATAAAAGGGCCTCTGCGCTACTTTTAGTTGAATGAGTTTTGGGCAAGATGTTTGGCCATATTAATAGATGCGCTAGAGGGGTGTTTAACCTCGTGTATTAGGAAAACCCGTGAGATATCGATTAGAGTTTTTTTATATGTGGGAACTTCTATATTTATCCACCTCATTAAATAAACTTAATAAGGAATTAACTAGTTACGTGTGAACTCATATATTTATCCACCTCATTAAACTGATTAGGGGCTTCATTTTAGGGTTTTAAGGTTCGAAAAGACAAGACCACGAAAGCAGATGGAAGAAGGGAAGAAGACGAATGAAAGGAGAGTTCCTTCTCTGGAAAAAGTTAAAATAGTCTAAAGGATTCTTCCACAACAGAAATGGGCCCTAATTAAACTTAAGCCCACTTAATAAATTAAGACTAAAATAATCTACAAGAATAAATGGGTTTATGTAGTGGCGTAGCCATGAATTTTGCTAAGGTGGGTCGAATAGTCCTAGGTCGATTTGAACGGCGAGCAGTAAGAGGCGGTTTATAGCTTGACTCAGATGCTGAGAAACACCATCACGTCACATGTAGCATTTGACTAGAAGCAAGATGCGATTTTCTTGCCGTTAAACAAATAGTGATTACAATTAGTGAACGGCGAGCAGCAAGTGCACAAACCTAGCAGCGAGAAAATGACGACCGATGAAGTTATCATATTGAGATTGTTGCTCGTGGGTATTCAGAATTGTGGTTTGTATGTATGTAGAGTAGAAAAGAATAGGTTGGTTATAATTTGGAGAGGATATAGTATAGAGTCGAAGAAATCACATTTTATTAATAATACAAAGGATTTTGGTTTTAACTTCTCATACTTTTCAATAAAAAACCAATTCCTCCGCCGATTATTATTCAATACCACCAATCTATGCAGGCTGCCACTAAAACCCAATTTCCTTATAGCCAAACTAAAACCAACTCAATACATGGAAGACTATAAAAACCACAAATCTTAATTAGCTTTTTAAACGTTGAATTGCAATTTGCAACTGCTAATTCGGTAATTCCTCAATCCACTACCAGGCCGCCACTAGCATCCAAGTTCTCTTTAAACAAACTAAAATCAGCTCAAAATAGGGAAGGTGACCAAGGCTAAGCGAGTGACGAAAGGATTAGGGACTGGGACTAAGTCTCGAACATGCAAAGTTGAGTTTTGATGATCAAATCTCAAATTTTTGTGTGGGGTAGCCAATCCAAGGGGGTGCAGCCGACCTCCCTTGGTTGGTTGTGGCTCCGCCAGTTTATGAATTCACCTTTGGCACATTTTCAACCAATCAATTAAGAGTGATCTATGCCTCCCGCGGCAGAGCACCAAAGCTCTGTTTCTTTCTTCGTTCCAAAACCGGAAAACAGAGTAAGCAGTGAAACCCAGAAATATAAACACAAGAACAGAGTATGAATAAGAACACAAGGCAGTAGCGGAAATGTAAATGAACACAGGAAATATAAAAATGAAAAACGAAGACAAAGACTCAAACTCAAGAACAAAGAAACCCCGGATCCACATCCTCAACCTCCTGTACAAATAATAACTTCTTACAATGCAATGAGAAAAACATCCAAATGGCCAAAGAGTTTCCCATCTATACATGGCAAACTCACAAACATGATTGAATGTTGGGAAACTCTTTAGCCACTTGGAGTTCTCCTCATTACCGTAACTTGATGCAAATAAGGTTGGAGGAAGAACTTTAAGGCATTTCAAGTTTCATTTGCTGCTTCCATGATTTTGAAGGAAGAGGGGCTGCGGTTTATATAGGCTGTAAGGGGATAAAATCTTATCAACATAAAATCTCCTACTGCCAATGACAAAGGGCAGAGTAAATGATGATAGGATTTTCATATATGAATGATGCTTTTGGTGACAAGTGTGCTTCTTTGGAGGGGCCACCTGGTGCAATTGATGCTTTTGGAGTAGGTTTCCTCCATTTGATGGACGACAGGCTTGGTTATGCGAACCAAGGAGGTTATTTAGGCCCACTAGTTTTATTTAAATAGCCCAAACTAATTCAATCCAGCCCATGGATGTTTTGACCCAAATTGTTCTGTTAAAAACAAGGATTTAATTTCACAGCTTATATACAACATCCTTTAGGTTTTTCATAGTGAAGCGCCAGCAGAGAGGCTAGTTCCTTAGTACTACTTTGGCTACTTAGGGTTATTTGGCTTGGACAATCACAAGCGCGACGATCATGGAAGACGATGAAATCGTGGAAGTGGAAAACAATGAAGGTATTAACAACAGTAACTATTCAACTATTCACAACGTTCACCAAAGTTCAGAGGTAGACGATGATGATCTTGCATCTCTTACTTCTACAGCAAGAAGATATCGAGAAGCTAAGATTCGCTAACACTGAAGAAGCCTATGATTTTTGGAGGAACTATGGGCTGGTCACCGGCTTTGACGTCAGAAAAGAAGATATTGGTCGAGATAAAGACAAGGTCCTGATATGGCGTCGGTTTGTATGTTCTGGTCAAGGAACAAAGCGCGACCGAAAGAGGGAACCAAAAGGAGAGACGAGATTTGACTGCAAAGCTAGGATTCGTGTACGACTAGACAAGTCAGATGGGAAGTGGTTTGTGGATACCTTTCATAACGTGCACTCTCATGTAACGGTTCCAAAAAAATACCGACACTACATGAAAGGGAATCGACAGTTGAGTGATGCAGTTCAAGCAGCAATCAATTTCCGGAGAGCTGCAGGAATGAAAACATCACAGATTGTTTCACTAGCGGTTGCAGAGGCAGGAGGCTATAGCAAGATGGGGTTCACGAGGAAAGATTCGTATAATTACGTGGACAAAGATCGGAAAGAACAGATTAGTGATGGTGATGCTGCGACAGCACTAGCTTACCTACAGGCGAAACTAAGTGCTGATGAACAGTTCGTAATTGAGCTAAAAAAAGACGATGAAGACAGGCTTGTTAACTTGTTCTGGGCAGATAGTATTTCAGTGGCTGATTATGCATGTTTTGGAGAATTATTGGCTTTCGATGCGACTTACAAAAAGAACGTCTACAATATGCCTCTAGTAATTTTTTCAGGCACTAATTCTTTTATTTTCGGTTCATAGTAACTTATATTTTCATTCCTATAAAGTATTTATTCATTGAAACTTAATACCACACGTTAAAGAGCCTAATGCAATATCACTTCCATGCGTTATGGGTACAGTGTAATTGTTATCTTATTAGTGAAGTAATTTTAATAACCGGTTCATAGTAATTTTAATAACCTGTCTTATTTGGATGTTCATTTTTGGCAAATGAGAAAGAAGAAAATTATGTATGGGTTCTAGATGCCTTGAGGAGAAGGTTGGGCGGTGTAGATCCTAAAACTGTTGTTACAGATGGAGATAAAGCCATGCGCAATGCGATTCAGCAAGTATTCCCCGATGCAACACATCGTTTATGTGCTTGGCACATAGACAAGACTATTGCCAGAAAAGTGAGGGACAATCCAAACTTCTTGCCACAATGGAAACATTTCATGTCAGCTGATTGGGAACCTTCAGTATTTGAAGGTAAGTGGAAAAGAATGGTCGAAGAGTGCTCACAGCAGCATAACAATTGGGTTTCAAATCTATTTGACCAAAGAACTGAATGGGGGTATACATACTTGCGCTCAAAGTTCTTTGCAGGCTTGTCAACAACGTCTAGATGTGAAGGAATGAACTCTCAGCTTACCAAGTATATCGAAAACAATCATAATCTACTTGAGTTCTTTATTCATTTTGATCGTTGGGCTAGGGATATGAGGGAGATGGAGCAACAAGCTGATTTTGAGTCCATCCATCGTGAACGGACCATAATGTCTAATATATTAGTCTCACTTCAGAAGAGTGCGTCTAAATTATTCACAAAAGAAGCCTTTTTCAAATTCAGAGATGAGGTTGAAAAGTCGGGAGCTTGTGTAAGGATGGATTCAGAGATATCGGAAAACCAACGCATTTACAGAGTGACAATGTCAGGTAAACAAAAGATTTTTTCAGGTCACATACACAATTGAGCCCTTCGCTATGGAGTGTAGTTGTAACTATTACCACTATATGGGAATACCATGCGCTCATATGGTTCATCTACTGAAAGAAGAGGGTATGCTGGAACTTCCAGAACGGTTGGTAAAGTTAAGGTGGTCAAAGAAGCCGAAGACACTGATAGCTTACAACAACCACACAATATGGACGAGGCTATACTATTCACATTCAGGTTCGTAGTTATTGTATAAAGCTAGTAATTGTGTGTTTAAGAAAGCAGTTCAGAGGTGTTTATTAAATACTAAGGTGGTACCAGAGGGCGTTGACTCATTTTAGAACATAAGCTTTCACTTTTTCGTGACATTTTAATAGAATAATATTGACTGTGATTTTCAGGTATGGGCTTCTTCAACAAAGCAGCTCCCAGTTATGGTTAAAAGGGGCAAAATCAAGCGATAGCTTCAACCTTGCTCGTACAGGAATTGCATACATGATGAACGAAGGTGATACTGAGATCCCAGATATCAATAGACCAAAGGCAAAAGAGAAACTTTTGGATCCACATCCTGTGAAATACAAAGGTTCGGGTGGACAAGAAAACAAAAGGAAGAAAGGGGAGCAACGAATGTGTAGCAGATGTGGCGTATTGGGTCATAAAAAAGCACTTTTAAGAAGCCTCCTGGGTATGTGAGGCCTACAATACCAGAACCTACTGATACTGGAACTAATGATGGAGCTGTTGGCCAAACAGTACCAAATAATGAAGAACCAAATAATGAAAACGTCGCCAACAACGGAGCTGACCAGCAAGCACCA